ATTTTTTATGTGAAAAAAATACCATCATATAAAGAGGGAAATACCAAATGGGAGGTGATGTTGCATCGGTGTCCCAACAATCTCCACAATATAAAATTACACATTTTGCATGCCAAATGCTCACTCATTTTCTTTCTTGAAATCAAAAGAAGTTAGGTTCCATTGAATAGGCTTCACAAGGACATCTGCAAGGTTGTCTTTGGTCTTGATCTTGACCACTTGAAATCTTTCATCTTCAACAACTTGCCAAATATTAGTGATATTAAACCAACATGTGTTTTGACATGTTATGATGAATCATATTCTTGGTCAAGTAAATGACACCTACATAGTCACAAAATAGTTTCAAGGGCTTGTACATCTATCAATCTTGATGCCACATTGCTTGTTTTGATGCCTCTGTTATCGTAATATATTCAGATACAATAGTTGATAGTGCTACCGAGTCTTGGTGTATTGACATCCAACTTGTTGATCCATTTGCAAGCTGAAAAACAAAGGTAGTAGTTCACCTCTCTATCAAGATCACGGGAAAAATTGCATCCATAAAACTTGCACTGGTTTGAGTCCTTACTAAATGTGATTTAGTTAGTGCTGCCCCTTAAATATAAAAGTACTCAATTTGTTACTTCCCAATGAACATTTCTAGGGTTTGCTATAAACCAATTTATAATACCAACTATGTGGGTAAGTCCATTTTAGTACATACCATGGCGAATATTAAGCTCCCACAAGCATTTGCATATGACACGTTAGTCATGCTTATTTATTCTTCTTCTGCCTTCGAACTTTGTATTGAACATCATTTGAAGTGACGAGCTTGGGGTGTCTTCACCAACTTTACATTTCTTATGCCAAATTTTTCAAGTACCTTTTTTATGTGACTCTTTTGAGATAATGACAAACTTCTATTTTGTATATCCCATTTGTTGGATTTTTATGGTCATTTAAAAGTCTTACGAGAGCATGTAATGGATTTTATGATAGAAACAATATACTCTAGTGGGAGTATGGTCTAGAGGGACCGAAGTTGACTACATTGATGCCATGACTCATATAGGCTTGACGAGCTTGGCCAAGTTGAGTTATAAACCTTATGATACCTGGGCATATAACACAATCGAGAAAGATTAACAGAGTTATTCCTTGATGAGGTTGGAGAGATGTTCAGAATAGTTAGCCAAGGGATTGTGTGACCCTTATGTGTGATTGGTAGGTCTAAGGAGATAATGGTCAAATTCTCACCATGACCATCACACATTATGTATATATGATAACTGTATTGGGAATTGAACATTGTTGAGGGTGTTACATGTATATGTGCGAGAGATAGCCCTCATGCATCAATTGCGATGTGTGTGCACAGGTCTGCGTGACCTAGGCTTGACCCTACGGGAACCTATAGGTCATAAATTACGATTGTGTTCTCATTACCTATTGGTTGGCTTTGGTAGCCTAATCATGAACTCTTGTGATGGACTGTGGGGCATGAGAATTGTTGGGTCAGTTTGGGAAAGTGAGTGTGAGACATAGTCACTAGTAGAGATAGAGTTTCAGTATTTACAGATTTTTCTGAATGAAGTTGGATCTGATTCCCATCAAATTAATTTAAAAATAAATAATTTGGTTATAAATGTTTTTTATATTATTAAAATAATATTTTGGAACTCTTTAGATATTTTATTTCTTCAAAATTGATTTTTATATCAGCAAAATTGAATTTTTTTAAATATTTAGAGAAGAAAATAAATTCTTTATCTTTATCTAAAAATTATTTTTATAATTTTAAAATATTAAAATATATAGGGGCTCATTATACTTTATGTGCCCCACCATTCTAGTCAATTTTATGAAGGGTGTGGGGCTCACTAGTACCTATGGGGTGATGTGGCCCACTCTTTTCCCCATTTTGCCTTTCGTTTTGGATTGTGTCATAAGCCATTCAAATGATTGAAACAAGATATGAAAGTTTTTTAATAGAGGCTAATTGACTTTTCAAAAGAAGCATATGTAGAGATTTAATGAAAATAAAAGCTAAATACATTATATTTTCTCTACACTAAATATTTGATGGGATTAGGTTAATGAAGTTGAGAGATAAAGTTTTAGAACCTTCCATTAGATTATGATGGCTGATCTATTAATTGTATAACTAAAATCTCTCACCCCACAGGTCATCTTTGATTAATGGTAAAGATGAAATCTTCATAAGGGTAACTAAACCGTATAAACCCTAACCCTAGCCCTAGCCCAATATTTATAAAATCTCTCAATGGGGGTGGTCTTTACACCCCAAGACCTAGAAGTCTCAAGAACCCCATGGGCTGGCTGAAAACATGATACACTAGCCACGAGGTTGCTAATATTTTTGGGTAAAAAGGAGGTAATTTGCTCAACGTCATTTTCCTATCATGGGTGCAATTAGAGTAATTTATTTGTATAAGATGTCAATTTTATATTATTGAAGTAAGGCACACCTCAGTACTATGCCTTATAAGATGACAACTTTATATTATTGAAGTAATGCACACCTCGAAACTATGTGTATCGAAAAGCCTTGTGCTTGCATGAAAATGCTCTTGTCACCCCTAATTATAAAATGCTAATCTTAAAAAATGATAAAAATAGAACAGATCTATAAATACTTATTTTTTTTGAAAATGGATGGTCCATTTGGGTCGGTTATATGAATCTTGGTTTACTATTCTACTCTATTAAATGTCATACCCATAGTGAAGCCAACGTCCTCATATCTTTTTCGACTCTTTCCAACCATGTCCTTTTAGGCCTACCGTTTGCCTTTTTCAATCATTCTATTTGAACCAACTCATACTTCCTAGCATGTGCTTTATGAGGTTAGTGCCATACATGACCAACCCACCTAAGTGTACTATATTTCATCGCCTAATGGTGCCATATCTAAATTTTCCGAATGGATTTTTTTCGATTTCTATCCTTTCTTGTATTGCTACTCATCCATCTCAACGGATGGTCCAATAATGCATTAGAAAACATGTTATTTGATTGACTTGAAATATTTTTTTTTTCTTTTTTTCCATTTCTATATATCTCTAAGTTGAGATGATAAGTTTAAAGATTTTTTAGCATTGGGACAACCGTTCTGATATCTTCTTTAGTGTGCCCTTCAATAGTATAAGGTGGACACGTTATATAACTTTTTCCTTTATTGAAAGGCTTACATACGTCTAAACTTATGATGGATTTTGGATCTAACTTTTCAAGAAAATACTACGCAATGCCTATAGGTGAAAATGAGTAGTGATTTCACTTATGCTCATCACCGCCCAAAGTTTTTCGCACGGTCACAGTTGTTAGGTAGTGTTTTGATTTTCATTTTCTTTTTCTACAAATCGGAATGATTTGAAATTTGGAGTGTATGTTCATAAAAAATAGAATAATGAAATAAAATAAGATAAACATATTTTGTAAAATATAAATTGACCAAAATACCACTAAAAATTTATAGGGGTATTTTGGTCAATTTATATTATATAAAATATTTTTTTCGTATATTTATTAGGTGCGCCTCACTAAGATGTACACACATTCCAAATTTCAAATCATTTTGATTTATAAAAAACAAATGAAAATTGAAATACTATCAGACAATCGTGACCGTGAGATGAACTTTGGATGGTGATGAGCATAAGTGAAATCACTGTTCATTTTCGCTTATAGGCGTTCGGAAGACTTTTCCAATTTTTCAAGGAAATTATGATCTAGGTCATTGTATCTTGAAAATAAATTTTTTAAAATATTTAATAATATATTTTGTTAATTTTTTTTATCGTCTATTTGGTACCCTTCTCTCAATGTCCATCCTAAAGATTTACGTTGATAGTCAAGATGCATCATTTAACCCACAAATAAACTTTTCCTTTAGTATACAATGAGGCTATGTACCTCTGGTACAAGGGGGTAGCAATTAATTTTGTCCAATGGATGGGAAACTATCTGATGTACATGAGGCTATGTACCTCTGGTACAAGGGGCTAGCAATTAATTTTGTCCAATGGATGGGAAACTATCTGATGTAAAATATAGTGGATGGGAAACTATCTGATGTAAAATATAGTGGTGTGACATAAAGTTCAAGAAAATTTCTTTTGAACTTTGAGTTTGATCGATTGAATAAATGCAACCACCCAAATTCACATCCAATGAACAAGATTAATTGTTACCACCTTGTAATAGAGGTAAATAGTATCATTGTAAAAATAGGAAAAAGTTTATAAGGTTGGCATGTTAAAATGTAGAAAGGTGCACCGATAGAATCCTTCGAAAAAAGTTGTTTTGATGTTAAAAAAGCTTCTAATATATTATCGCGGAATCGAGATGTATAAATATGGAGAAAAAAAAGAGATTTCAAGTCCTAAAAATAATATATCTTGCAACTATTATTTAGACCGTCCATTTTTAAGATTTTTATGCGGTTATAGCTTTACTTGATTTGAACTATTTTTGAAGTTTAAATTTAGGAAAGTGTACAACGGTATCATTTACTTTAGGTAGTCATAATTAATCTTAACCATTGGATGTGAAATTGGATGGCTGCATTTATTCCATTAACCAAGATCAAACTTAAAAATATTTTTTTCTAATTTTATACCACATCCAAGCTATCACATTGAATGGTTATAAATAATTGTGACCACCATAACTTAAAATTTTATCAATTAAGATAAAAATAGAATCACTCCATCCTAAAAATTACCAAAATTAGATCCCATGATAAAGTTTGGAGGTGCACATTGATTATTTAAGATTGCAACTTCAGACATACCACACCATACATGGTAATATAACAAGTGGCTAGGCCCGTTCAGGAGGGGTAGTTTAGCTATTTCATGTAATTGGAAAGGCATTAGTACAATATTCACACTCCATGAATTTCGAGGGTATTCCTGGCATTTTCAAGTAAAAACTAGAAAAACCTCCGAGGGTAAGTTTGGGTATATATTTTTTGTGGACAGGCTCCCTGTATCTAGGCAGAAAAGGAAAGGGCGCGGGGAAAACGCTCACTCTGTGTGCAGCACTAGTAGCTCGAATAGTTTGAATGCTCGATTTCCATTAAACAAATCCAAATTTTTTTTAAGGGTTTCTCATTTCCTTTACTGGATTGGTTTCTCTTGTAACCAGGTAATTTTGTGCATTTTTGGATTAATTTAATTTAGTTTTAATCCTGTCATTTTGAAATGTTTGGATTGGTGATCCGATTGATGGATATTTGAGATGGTTGTGCCTGATCGTTCCTTTCTTCTCTAATTTTGATATTTTTTGTTTTATGTATTCTCTCTTTAAGAGTGTCATTTTTGAATTGTGAGTGTTCCTTTGAGATTTGTGCAATCAGTGGTGTGTTTGCGTTTGAATTTTTGACGAACAGGTGCATTTGTTTGATTTCAGGGTTTTGAATGGACCATCATGTGATATAATTTTCCATCTATTATTTTTTAAACAGTTGTCGTGGAATTGTCTGGTTTTTTGGTGGGAATTTGGTGGCCTTTTCCATTCATGTTCCTCTATTTGGTTAAATCGTTGGGATTTATGGTGAAAATTGAGCATGTTTGGTTAGACATGCATGGGATGACTCCAAGTTAATTCATACTTGCCTTTGAATACACTCTGCCTGTTTTTTAACTTCAAAATGGTTAATTCTTCCTTATATAGATGATTCGAGGGGTGACTGTTATGGTGGTCATATGACTGGGTTTTCTCTGATGGATCGTGGGGATTCATAGTATTTGTAACATTCTGGCCCTGTTTGAGCCCATTTACTATCTTATTTTGCCCATGTTCATCTTGATTCCCTGGCATTTGAGGATTCTAGCATTTAATTGGAGACTCCAGTCTCTCACCTGATTAATTGGATAGAATGGCGCTTGGTTCATGCTTTTTAATTTAAAATATCTGATAAGGTATCTGATAAGGTATTTCCTATTACATCAGTATCTCGAAGCTTGTTTTGTATCCATAAACTTTCGCAATCAGTATTTGATAATTTGACAATTTGTTGATTTCAACATTTGATGACTAGTCACATATTGTTCTAGATTGAAATATGTGGAAAGACAACACGATTCTGAGTCAAACGAGTATGCTCTATAAATTAATCATTTACAGGATATTTCGGAACATGAATAGCTCATCTTGATTGATCGATGTTGAATCACTGTTTTAGAGAAGAATCTTATGATTGATATAGCTTGGAATGAACTTGGCAAAAAGAGGGCACTTCTGTATTTTTAATAGCTTTACATTGGAAATTGGGTCGGCGAAAAAGGTGCACGATCTTGGATATAACTTTTCAGCTAACTAAAATCATACATTAAATAATCTTAATTAGCGGCACCAAGACCTACCTTCGCATTTGTCTGACAAAGCTACATTGTATAAATGTAATCTACCACTCTTTCTTTCTGTTACGAAGTTAGACTATGGCCTTGAAGGGTTCCTAAGTTTTTTTAGAACCAATAGGGCTAATGTAGATATAAATCTAGTGGGAGAACCTACACATGGTTACATTGCATCCTTTATTATCGTAGGAGAGTGAATCGCATAAAAAGGCTTCCGTCACCAAGGCCCTCCTCCCAACTTCTGTTTTGTTAAATGTATTTGGTTGATTGTAACTACCTTCTGTTTGTGTGGTCTACTCAACCGTTGTCATTGAAGCAAAGGTGCAAACTTCTTCTATGTAAAATAAAAACATAATCTAACTCTCTTAGACCATCGTCTCCACTAGCCATCTTTCAAATCCATCTTGAATGTGCCCCATGAACAAGACACACCCTACCAATAACTGGATATGCTCTTTTTAATGGCCCAAGTACCACTTCCTCGTTGAAATTGGGAAACATTCTGTCTGGTTTTCAACAATATATGTATTTCTGTGAGTAAGTAGTTGGTGCTAGTCTGAAAATAGTATGGGCCATTATGGGGATTGGCATGTATATTAGGGGCTTTTCTGGATGTCGTCGTTATCACCTCACAAAATTACCTGAGATAAACTTAGAGGCAGTTCTACAAATAAGTTTATCTAACTTAGAGGCAGTTTTACATATAAGTTTATCATTTGAAAGCTGTTTTTCTTTATTTGAGCAATTTGCGAGATCACATTGTTTAGCTAGATATAACTAAAAATGACTTAAAATCATAAAAACAGTTATTAATTAAAGGGAAAAGTTTTAGTAAGGCTGCAACCTTAAAATGTAGAATCACAGATGCACCTCAAAAATCTATTAGAAATGTTATTTTAATGTTGAACAAAACCCTCTAATCGATCATCTCGACATCGAGATGTATGACTATGAAAACAAAAATTTTTTGAGTCCCGGAAATAGTCCAACTTGCAACACACGATCTAAATCGTCCATTTTCAAGATTTTCATATATTTATAGATTTACTTGATTTTAACCATTTTTGGATTTTAAAATTTTCTAATTAGGTATGAAAATAGATTTTAAGATTATACTAAGAATTTTTTACAACAAAATTACATGATGTGATAAAATTTTAAGGTGCGCCTTAATTGGATTGTTTAAGGTTGCAACCTTATTGACACCGCACCCCTAATTAAATGACATTATGTATAATTTAAGGTGTTACCAAACAATTGAGAATTTAGGTGTAGCACAAATAGGCGATAAGATGAGAGAGAATAGACTTAGGTGGGCTGGCCATTTGTGGTGCCGACGAAGTACACCTGTTTGGAGGTGCGAGTTATTTCAAGTGGAAGGACTTAAAAGGGCAAGGGGTAGACCCACAAGGACATAGTTGGAAGTAGTTCGGAAAGATATGGGGACTTTTGGCCTCACTGAGGGTATGGCCTTTCATAGAGCAGAATGACGGACCAGGATTTGTGTAGATGACCTCAATTAATTGGAAAAAGGTTATGATGATGATGATGATGATGATGACCAAACAACTAATAAGATATTTGTTGAGTAAATTAATTTTGAATAAGATTGTCTACTCCTGGTAAGATTAGCTGTCATCCAAACAGGCCCCAGAATTATTTTGATGTATCAATGTAATGAGGATGCTGTTGTTGTTAGCTTCCCATGGCTAATCTAACATTTTATGCTGTGCACGTGCTACGCTGAAGATGCACTAATGAATCCCTCACATGTAGTTTGTGTGACTCACATGGGCAGATATAATCGCAGTATGCAAGAGGCTACACCTTAGATTGGTTCTCACCATCTTACTGGTAGAGCATGGTCTATGGCTATGCTGCTACATATTCTTTTACAGGCAAGGACTCTAGGTATGATGTGAAAGTGACAAGTTATTTGATCCTATGTACAAGGTGCGGTGCTTGAGTAGGTCCTAGTTAATTGATTTTGGTGATGGTTAGCCTCTGCTAAGGGTGTTCGCTCAGCTCCACTGGCGATGGGCCAAGATTGAGCAATCTTTTGCTGCTTGCATGCCAAGATGAACACTCTAGCTCATATTAAACATTCCAAGCTGAAGCTGGGACAGGTCAGCTTGAGCTTGCCTGGGGCTTATTTATCAATTTTTTTTAATATTTATGATATAAAAAAAATTCTGTACATGTTATTATTATATTGAATTCACCTCAAATAGGAAACTCAAGATACTATGTAGATATTGTATATATAATATATTTTTTGGGTAGATTAGTGGTAGAATTCAAACCTCATAATGGCTGTTGGTGATTCTTGTCCTTTCGGAGGTTTGGACTGTGATTATTGTTTAAAAGAAATCTGCTCATAAATTTGTTATGTTACTGTTATTTGATGTTGGTTACTTACCTGGTGTACTATTTATTCTTATTCCTGTGTTGCCTTCTCCCATCTCTTTATCATGGTTATTTTTTCTCTTGTTGTGTTGCATGTGAAATAGAGTGGGTGACAGTGATATCTGAATATCTCATAATTGCTGGAAATCTCAGGTGCTTTGATGTAAGGACATCTTAAATAATGATGTATAAAAACATTTCAGCTTACTATGTTGATATTTTTATGTCATATTTCTGGTTTTTGGATCTGTTCTGGAACTAATTTGCTGCTCTATTTGGATTATGTGCAGGTTATCAACATCATTATTCCCATAGTGCTTCTGTACTGTTGGTCGTACACATTTGCCTTGATGAGCCCTTTTTAGGTTATATTTTGGTCCTTTGATGCCTGCTCAATTACATATCCTCATTCCTGGATAGGATCTCTTCATGATGGGATCCTCATCCAAGTCTTTGGACATGAGAAAATCTGGAGTTCGTCTGCTGCATCTGATGCACCTGAAGTTTTGCTTACCTGAGCAAGTCAAATTTGAGGACAACAGCTGCTAGCCTGTTCTTTGTTGTGCAGTACCAAAACTCCTACAAGTTCTGCATGAGTTTTAGCCTGTTACGTGGTGCTAAACAAAGGCATTTAGATAATCAGTTTTGCCTTATATTTGGATGGTCATGTGAATGGTGATGCATACAATTTTGAAATACGTGCATCATTGGGCTATTTTGCTGGCACTATTTTACATACCCTTGTTTTTTCTTACAGTGGGTGCTTATAATAGTGAATCTGTAGTATTTGGAAAAAGAGTAGAGGACCTTTTAACGGGTTTCCATGGTGAAAAATATAGAGGCCACACCTTTGGGCATATCGGAAGTTCCACTTTGCCACCATCATTTGGAAAGACCTCGGCATCTTGCGAGGATGACTTGAAGGGTGTTGGTTCCTTAAATACAACATGTCGTGTTAATTCCAGTTTGTATTTTAATGATGATATATACATATTTGGTCTGGGAAACTTGGAGATTCTGCCACATGTTTCACTAGTTTGTTCAGTTCCAGGCTGTTCAATTAATGTCAACATATCTGGGAATGTTAAACTAGGGAAATATTCAGTTGTCATTGCAAGTACTGTAGTCATTAATGCTACTAATGTAAGTTTGGAGCACTCTTCGTCTTTAAACACCACTGCCCAAGGTGCATCCCCACCACCTCAAACTAGTGGAACCCCACTAGGCCCTGATGGAGCTGGTGGAGGGCATGGAGGTCGGGGTGCTCTTTGCTTGAAGGGAAACCACAAGTCACAAGAAGATGTATGGGGCGGGGATGTTTATGCTTGGTCCACATTATCTGATCCATGGAGTTACGGGAGTAAGGGTGGCACAACGTCCGCGTTGGAACACTTTGGGGGCAATGGAGGGGGACGGGTAATGATTAATGTCAAGGAGATTGTAGAAGTTAATGGATCTGTAACTGCAGAAGGAGGTGAAGGAGGACTGAAGGGAGGAGGTGGATCTGGGGGCAGTATCATAATCTATGCTTTTAAGCTGTAAGTATATCGGATTATGAAGGGTTGGGCTTTCCATTTGTTATCTTTCTCATCACACATTAAGGGTTGCTTGATGATTATCAAGTTGTGAGCTGCAAGTAAACACAACAAACTTTACGTTTCCCAGTTTGCTTGTATCATAGAATTATATTTTGTTGTTTGTTTATATTCTGTTTGTAATTGTTTGTCAATTAGGCCTGACCTTTGTTTTGGATTTTCAGAACCGTAATTCCTGTTCCACTTGAAGGCGCCCAAGTATGATTTTCTTCGGACCATGTAACATGATTGTAAAGAAAACATGCATAATCTAGAAAATGAATATATTAAAGGAATATGTGGTCTCAACGACAGCTGGTGTTTGGCTTCCTAATGTGGTCTGTCGCAAAATTGGCATCTGAGAGATACTACTTATCTATGAATGAGATTCTCCTATGCTCTACTCAAGAAATCATCCTCAAGAAGATGATCCACCAGATGTAGCTTATTAATTATTTATCTCGATGATGATTATAAAGGAAAATACATCATAGATTAATATTGGATAGTCTTTGTCCATACAAGTGTCTTCATGTATTTTAAACTTTAATGTGACATCTCTTTAAAAGAAATAAAGATAGTTTAGGATAGATAACATAGGCACTCTGTGCATTGTGTTGACTTTTGGTGGGCTGTGGGTGATCATAGGATTGCCAGTGAGATGTCTAGACTTGTGAACCTCATGATCTTATATTCTAATCTGCCACCATGTTAAAAGTTTGATGCTTGACCCATTTGTAATGTATTAGTGTTAATAACTATCAAGGTAGTAATTCTATTGGTGTAATAAGGGATTGATAAGGGATTAATTTCCGGTCATACATGATTTGGTGGATGACCAGTTTGACCTTCATGCGAATAGGCCATATCAGGAAGCAAAAACAACCTTTGATGAACAGATGCAATAGTTGATTTTCATGAGAATAATTATATACTTGAACACAAGTGTCTCAGAAAACCAATTTGGTTTATACTAGGTAGGTCAACAACTGATGCTATTTTCCTACTTAGGCCACTGATTGAGAAGTTTAAGGTGAAGGGAAAAAAGACCTCCACATGGTCTTTATTGATCTAGAGAAAACTTATGATAGATTACCTCGAGATTTGATTTGGTGGTGTTGGTAAAGAGAGCAGTCTCTAAATACTACATCAACTTGGTGAGAGATATGTATGAGGGAGCGCTAATTAGTGTACAAACAACTAGTGGAGAGACGAATGAGTTTCCACTGGCAATATGTCTACATCAGGGGTTGACATTGAACCCATACCTCTTTGCCTTAGTTATGGATGACTTAACTAGGCACCTACAAGATGAGGTACCATGGTGCATGTTATTTGTGGATGACAGAGTTTTGATTGATGAGACCTGAAACGATGTCAACACAAGTTAGAACTTTGGAGGGATGCTATAGAATCTAAAGGTTTTAAAACTAGCCCGTCTAAGACAAAGTATATGGAATGCAAGTTTAGTAATGATAGGAGTAGAGACGAGGAAGTAGTTAAGATTGATGGTCAAGAAATATAAAAAAGAGTGCACTTTCGATATCTTGGGTCGATAATCTAGGAAAATAGAGAGATTAAGGAAGATGTCGCCCATAGAATTAGAGCAGGGTGTGCGAAGTGGAGATGTGCAATTGAAGTTTATGTGATCGCCACATACCAATGAAGTTGAAGGATAAATTCTATAGGATAGTTGTGAGACCATCTTTGCTTTATGGGCCGGAATGTTGGGCCGTCAAGAAACAACATACCCATGAGAAGAGGATGTTGAGATGGATGAGTGGCATGACAAAAAGGGATAGAATTCTAAATGAATACATTTGGGAGAATGTAGGTGTGATGCCAATAGGCAATAAAATGAAAAAAAGTAGATTTAGGTGGCCTGACATGTGTGGTGCAGACTTAGTACAACACCTATTAGGAGTTGCAAGTTGGTTCAGGTTGAAGGCTAAAAAAGGACAAGGAGTAGGCCCCAAAAGACATGGTTGGAAGTAGTGAGAAAAGACATGGCGACGTGTATGGCCTCATTGAGGGTATGACCCTTAATAGAGAAAAATGACTGGCCAAGATTTGTGTAGCTGACCCCAGATGGTGGGAAAAGGTTCTGACGATGACGATGATGATAGATGAACAACACATGATCATATGCATATATATGCAACACTTTTTATTTATTTAGGCAATTGCTTGAGAAGTTCAGGGAGAAGAGAAAAGGCTTCCACATAGTCTTTATTGATATAGAAATACATATGATAGGGTGACTAGATAAATAATTTAGTGGGTGTTGGAAAAGAAAGGAGTTTCAAGAGGATATATTAACATAGTTAGAGATATGTAAGAAGGAGTGCTAACTAGTGCGAGGACCTCTAGTGGAGAGCAAATAAGTTTGAAGTGACACTATGCCTACATCAGGGGTCAATGTTGAGCCCATATCTCTTTCCTTGGTTTATGGATAAGGTGATCGTCACATACCAATGATACTGAAGGGTATGGAACGGTTGTAGGACCAACCATATTTTATGAGATAGAATGTTGGGCAGTCAAGAAACAACATATCCATAGAATGAGTTAGCTGAGATGATGATGCTGAGATGGATGAGTGGCAAGACAAGGAAGGATGGAATTTGAAATAAATACATGCAAGGGAACTTAAGGGTTGCTCCAACAGGCAATAAATGAGGGAAAGTAGACTTATGTGGTCCGGTCACGTGTAGCGTCGACCTAGAAGAACATCGGTTAGAAGGAGTGATTTGGTTCAAGTGGAAGGCTCTAAAAGGGCAAGAGGAAGGCTTGGAAGGACATAGATGGAAGTAGTGAAAAGCTATGGTAATTTGTGGTCGGATTGTATGGCCCTTGATAGAGCAGAATTGCTGAATGGGATTCGTGTATCCAACCCAAAATAGTTGTAATAAAGCTCGGATGATGATGACGATGATGATGCATACATAAG